TCAACCTTTTGTTGGACAGTCTAATGCCCAGTTCAGAAAAAACTGCTTATTTCTTCAGCCGCTTCCAACCTGTGCATCAAAAACTCCCAACAGCAGGCATGCTCTGATCTCGACTACGTGAAAAGTGGGGACTTTGAGCAGGTCAATGGTAAGATTATTCTTGAGTGTTCATAATATTCTTTTTTCTGGGTCATTGGTTCTAATAATGTAGTAATAGAGTAAAGAGAAGATTAACAGTGATAATCACCAACAGAACAAAATTTCCCACACTCACCTCACATCATATCACGTCATTTTTTTCCATAGCCGGGCACCTTCATACAGCCTCTTTTTTTGTCTCCATTTTATTGCCCATTGTATTGCAATATTTCATCTCGACTTGCCTTTCTAAGAGGAGGTAAGATACCGTTCTCACTTCAATTCACATCACCCGTAACTCCATCACATCTATATGCACCCTTCTTCCTGCAACATCTCACGCCATTTTTTACCTCTCACCATCAAACCTCAAGCCATCTTATCTCATTCCAAATTTTACCCCACCTTACCCCGGCCACCAATCACCCCATTTTTCACACTACCCTTCACCACACATTCATTCCCTTCACAGATTTTGACCTCCTCTCATCGTATCTCAAGTTTTCTGAAGCTTCATCCACCCCACCCCACCCCCCACCCCCACCCCATTGCCCCACTGTACTTTCAGCCAGCAACACCGCCAGACAGGTATGCCAAGACAACTCCATGGGTTACTTCCCCCACCCTGACACGATCACCAAGTACGTGTACTGTGTTTCCAGCACTGAGGCTTACGAGGTCAACTGTCCAGATGGCTTTGCCTACCTCGACTCACAACAAGACTGCATTGCACCGGTGGGCCCATGTATAAATTGTGCTAAATGCTTCTCAAACTCCAATACTAAATAATATGTTGATGCTTTTCATCTCAAATGTAAGAGGTATAATGTATATTTTTTAAAAAGCTTACATTAGGTTGATGTTACGGAGAATCATAACCATTATATAAGCGATCAGGATAATGATTGTATTAATAGGGCCCTAAAACACCCACGAGTAAAGTTAGGTTATATCAGGATGACGTGGTATTTTCAAATTTGTTTTTGAACAAAGTGTAATGTAAACGTTGATAGCCCTGTATCTGCTTTTGTCAAATTCAAACAATGTAGTATGTCTCTTAAAAATGGTCAAGCCCTTTTCCCTCAGATAAAAATAGGAAAAAATAGTCCTTAGTCAGAAAGATCTGTAGAAATGCGTCTTGGGAGGCGATGCGACGACATGAATATGGAACTGATATATGCACAGACTGGACATTGATAAATCCTGTCTTTGAGTCAACTTGGTCTCATAATACTTTTTTCACTACCACAAGTGGGACGCACCGTTAGCTCAGTTGTTATCATGCTGAACTACGGAGTTGAGGGCCCAGGTTAAAATCCCCAACGGGGTTTTCTGAACTTGGCCTGTTTTGGGGAGTTTTTAAGGTTCTCTTTCGGAGATGGACGTCAAATGTGGAGGTCCTGCCTCTTAAATAACCTTACAGTATCGAAAGGGGCCTTAAATTGACAAAAGCGCAGACATTTTCAAAGCGATTTGACCAAAAAAAACAAAAAACAAAACATAGAAATCTCATAAAAGTCTTGCTCAAGCAAAGAAACGAACAGGAAAGGTTTGTCATCGGTTTGCAAGGGTAAATAAGTCTCTGATAGGACCTATTAGCTTCATTTGATTGAAATCTCCACTAAATCAGAAAGAAACCAAAGTGCCGTGGAAAAAATCAAGCTTTATAATATTTTGTCCTGGGGGGGATAATGAAACTTCTAGGTTATTGATTGTCGTATTGCAAAACTACGTTCTTGACACCAAGGTTAATTTGACATCAAATTGATATACCGCTATATGGAAAAGCAATGGAAATTTACGGTATGACATATTTCCTCTATGTCTCAAAATCGCTTTTTGTTTAGAATTAGATACTTCTGACCCAATATCCCATATTTACCACACTGGGGGCTCCAGTGAGTTGTGAGTTTATACTCAAGAGTAAAGTCAAGCAAACGTCGGTGACACTGGGATCAGATGGGTGGTCACTGGGGTGTGTTCTTGAGCAAGACTGGAAAACCCTAGCTAAAAATGTATGGAGCTGCACAGTGGCAATCAGAAAAGGCATGGTTGTGAAATTGTTCGGTTCTGGAGTAATATTGAGTATTTATGTATGTATATGTGTATGTATTCATGTATCTATAATTATATAATTATGAATGTAGTATGTATGTTTGCAATTGTAAACGAAATTGCCCTTCTGGGTTCGATAAAATGTATTTATTTATTTATTTATTTATTTATTTACTATTTATAATTTAATCCTATCTCATGTCTTGACAGGTCTCCACCGACAGTGACAAGGTGTGCCAAGTGTGTACCCAAGAGAACTTGGAGCTGGGCCTGAAGAAGTTTCCACTGGTCTCTAACAACCAGCAGTTCGTCAACTGTAGCAGGGTGGACACCTGTGTGGTTTTGGGTTGTGGTGACGACACTCGCTACCTTCCGGTAAGTCGATGTTAGACCCAAAGAGGTTATATTATAATACTAGAGGTCGTAGAAGTGACGTCACACGTGTCAGACTCGGGGGCTTTCTTATCCTCATCGGCATGGCCGGCGTGCCCTCATTTGCTCGAACAATCTGATCCACC